TAGCACATTTGACTGCACCAATGGGTGCCTTTCCCCAGCAGCTATTCACTTCCACACGCAGATATTTGGGCTCTTCTCAGACAAAGCACTTACGTGTTCAGTTGCCTTCTTTTGGGGTTTGGAGGTGGAGAACTGAATAACAATTCAAATGCTGATCCCAAAAGCAACTGCAGAATAGAGGTAAAACTTGTGCAGCCATAAGGGCACCAAGCAAGTACAGAAGAAGATCCAGGTATCCACCAAGTAATCGAAATCTAGAATAGATTGCAGATTTAGCAAGAGCAGATTCCAACAGTACACATTAAGAAAGAACACAACAAACCCAGCCATCCAATCCATACCTGCAGGCTCAGGCCATGAGCTACTCCACAGGCTTTGCAGAAAACAGCCTTTGGCTAAACACGAGACACTACAAGGAGCCTTCAACTCCTCAGAGGTTGTCCTGGGTTCAGCAGTAGCAGTCATTTTTCTCCTTCTTGGTAGCTGGTGCAGTGCTGTGTTTTGACTTTCGGGCTGGGAACAGAGTTGATAACGATGTTTTGGTTTGGCCAAGGACTTTGTGAGCCTCATGCTCTGCCAGGGAGGAGGGGAAGCCGGGAGGAAGCAGAGACAGGACACCTGACCCAAACTGACCAAAGAGGAATTCCATACCACAGCACGTCATGCCCTGGATGTAACTGGGAGTTACCCGGAAGGGCTAGGAGACTGCGGGGTTGGAGGAGATATCAGTCAGTGCTTGGTCAGGCTTAGGGGGGTGAGTTATCGGTTGGCTGGTGGTGAGGTGTTGTATTCTCTTCCCTTGTTATTTCCTTTATCATTACTATCATTGGGGGTAGCAGTAGTGATTTGTGTTATACCTTAGTTACTAAACAGTTCTTATCTCAACCCATGGGAGTTGCATTTCTTTTTGATTCTCCTCTCCGTTCCCCCAGGAGTAGGGGGAGGGCAAGAAGGGGGGGAGTGGGTAACAAGCTGTCTGGCTGGATTTAAACCACGACAACACCTAGAAGTAAAGGAGGTCCCGGTGAGTTTTCCTCTTGCCGATTACTCTTACCACTGGGCATTGCTGTATGTAAATAGGATCAGAGTTCCCGTGTTGTGCTGGGAAGAGCCAGTCCTAAGACAGCGGATTTCCTCCAGCAGTCATGCTTCATTAGCGCGCACGTTGCTGAGGCTTGGAGGTGCTGCGTGAGCAGAATACTCTCCTGCTAATTCTAGGAAATACTCTTACTGATGGTGCAGGATCGTGGTACGAGTGGCTTTCTGAGTAACTTCAAGGGTCAGAGCTTCTCTGACAAGCAAGAAGGGGGGGGAGTGAGTGAACAAGCTGTCTGGCTGGGGTTAAACCACAACAGAGGTGCACCAGCCAACCTCCATCTCTGTGTCCAAGCTAACAGGTTAACCAGAGTGTTCTGTGGAAACTCTGATTTTCCTTAGGAAGCACTGCTTCTGTTACAAGCAAAGGCAGAAAACACTTGAGCTGTGCAAGCATCAGTACCCTGTGAAACATCCAGGGTATCGTAATGGCCTTAGCTTTGCACAGACCCAACACACGCAGATCTCTAGAGCTACAGAGCTCCATGTCAAAGGGGAAATCAATTCCAAGAGCTTACTGCTGAGCACGACCATTCCTCGTACACATGAGGTGCCACACTGCTTACAGGAGCTTTGACCCAGTTTCAAGGCCAGACCAAAACCTCGATTCAGGTCACAGCCTTGAAGGGAAGCCCTTCACCAGCAACACTGAACCTCCCAAAGACCCTCTTCAGCAGCCCCTGCAAACCCTGAGTGTCGGAGTGGGAGTCCGGCCCGGAGTAACGACGCAACCTCAATATGAGTATGATCGTTCTCGTTTATTGTTTGCATACACAGTGTTTATATAGGATTCTAAATCAGCCACACTCCTAAAGCAAAGCTATCATTGGTCCCCAACAACTGTTCACGCGCCTGTCTATACATTGCTATTGGCTAAGCTAAGTTTTACACACATATCTCTGCAACAGCAGGGTGCATGCCTTGTGATAAGCGGTGCATTCCTTGTGGCCAGCAAGCTCCTGTTTCAGCGTTCTGCTTACATTTCTTCAACTCCAGGCCTCCCTGGCTCAGCTGAGTCAGAGAGAGTTCAAGGCTGTCTCACTCGGCTCTAATCCTGGGTTGTGCAGGCCCTCGTGAGAATAACCATTGCTCCACACCCGAGGGAGAGGCTCCAGGAACCTGGAGCACCCCAGGAACCCCACTCCACCCCCCGTGCAACCCCTGCAATTCCCCATGGAACACCCCCACCTCCCCCGTGCCTGCCCTAAACATGCCCCTCTCACCATTAATCCCTGCTCTGAGCTCACCCAACCCATGAAATCACAGCAGATCCTCACACAAACCTCCTGTCCCTTTGCCCCAAAACCACCTCACGGGTGTTACCCCACACCCGGCCATTACCCTCCCCGCTGCACTTACTTTCCACACACCCTCAAGCTCATACGCGGCCAGCCCCGGCTCGGCCATCCCCACACGCACACGGCCCCGCTCCCTCCTGGGCAGCTCTTGGCCCCCGCACGGACACCCTCCTCCCTCCGCTCCAGCTGCGCCACAACAGCCGCTACTGCGGCCCTCACCGACGGAGAGCCCCCTTCTCAGCCTGAAGAGCACCACTTCCAGCCATCCCCAACCACCTCTCTCCATCTCCCTCCGGACGGACTTTGAAGAGCAACGGAGAGGCGGGGAACACGCAGGAGCGGACACAGAGAAGGGCAGGGCAGGGCAGGGCAGGGCGAAGCAAGGCAAGTTCCGCCAATGACGAGACAGCGTTGGACAGCCTCGGGCAATGGAGAGACAGCAGGGGGTGGTCCGAGCACTCCTGCTCACCCGTCCGTGGGACAGCCGCGGTCACTGTTGTGTCCATCTTCAACTCGGGGGCTGTGTGGTGCCCCTGCCCTGCCCTGGCAGTGACATGTGGGTCATGGAAGCTCCTGGGCTCCAGCGGTTCAGCCCTGGGCAGCAGCACTTGTTCCTCCTTGCTGACAGCTCATGCGCTGTGACCGAAGGTCCAGGTAAAAGAACTCTCTGAGACTCAATGTGGAGTTCAGCAAGCGGGCACTCTTTATTGCAGCACTGGGTGCACAGGGCCAGCCTGCACCTCTGTTGTGTCTTGTGCGGGACCAGGACATGGCCACTGCTCAGCCCCGAGGAGCAAGGGTGGCTTTGACCTACCCCCCAGCCTTGTTCTCTCTCTGTCAAGGTGTTGCTGCAGGGAGGCTGTGCAGACAACTCTCTCTTCCTCAGCTGGACTGCAGGGTGCCCTTGGCAGACCCATGGCATGGGGATCCTGCTCATGTGTGTCCCCTGGGGGCCATGGGCAAGGAGGCACTCAGAGGAACTATATTCTGTGTGGTTCGTATCATCACCCCGGGCCAGCAGGACACAGCAGGGCTGTAGAAGCTGCAGGCAGCATCCCATGGGGGAGGATAAGGATGCAGGTGAGATAAGGACCCAAGTGGCACAGGGACATGGTTTCACTTCAAGGCGAATGGAACGCGGATACTGGTGGAACAGGAACACGGCTCTACAATGTGGCAGTTGTCGAGGTTCATGCCATGCAGCTCCCACAGTACGCTCTGGGCTGGTGGCTGTTGCTGTGGCGCTCAAGAGCGATGGCACTGCTGGACCCATGGCGCTGACCTGCCTGGAGCAGGGATCGCTGCTGCAAGCGGCGCGGGGCACAGTGGGGGCCTGGTGTGCCACAGCGTGCCACCCACCTGCACGGGTCCTGTTCTTATGTTGCCCACATGGCAAAACAGTTGATAACGGCAGCCTGGCCGCAGGGTCTGTCCTGAGAGAACCTGTCCCACTGCTACTGCCTCGGGTGAGCACCAGGGGAGGACCAGATTGGATACTCCTGCCGCTAAAGGCAGAGCTGACCATTGTGTCCCCGCAGAGCCCCGCCACAGACCTGCCGGTACCCGCTGCCACCAGACCGGCGCCCTGGGATGGTTTTCCTGCCGGTACTCTGGGACAGTCAGATACCCAGGGCCTTGCCATGGGCCTGCCACCCAGCCCCGCTGTGCAGCAAAACAGGAAGCTATTCTCCCCTTCCCACTCTGCCTTGCCCAGTCGACTCAGGGGAAAGGTTTCCTCCATGATGTATCAGTAGGGAAGAGTTTGCTTTGGCTGTGGGGACCACAGAACAACTGGGTTCTGAGAAGTCCTGAGAGGAGAAGGAAGGAGAGCAGAAAACAGTAGTGCCGGACTTGTGCTGAACATTCAGCTTCTGCAGCAAAACTGTGCCTGGGATTCTGCGAGAAGCAGATGTAGGAGCTAAAGGAGGGACGGGACGGGCTGCCTCGTATGTGAGCAGTGCTCTTGGCTGGAGCAGGGCAGCCAATGCACTGCTGCACAGGGGGGCACACCGTGTCCAGCCTCGGGATTCTCCTCACCAAGCACTCCCCAGTTTGCAACCATGGCCAGGTGGGTGCGTGGAGCCAGGACACAACCGCTGCCCACAGCTGCCTCGCAGCCTTCCACGCTGCTTGTGAAGGACAGCATGGCCTTGGAATTGTGGTTGGAGCTTTAATCAAAAAGACACATTTTCTTAAGCAGGGCTTAACTGCTGCCTGGCTCTTCAGAGTCGGCTGAACAACGTCCATGGTGTCCGCCTCTGTCTTCTCTGCGTTTGTATACGCGTCAGGATATATGTTGTCTCTTGTACCAGGGATGAGACCTCGGCTTCCTCTTGTCCCGTCAAAGGACAGAAGGCTGCAACAGAAGTAAAGAGAGCAGAGCTGAAACCCACTGATTGGCAGAGACCCGCAGGCACCTCTTCCAGACCATACCAGCCCCAACCATCCATTTCCCTGGTCAGGAAGAGCAGGCAGACAAATAAATCACCTGGAAGCTGCTGCTCAGGATTACAGCAAATGCCCCCAAAATGTTCCCTGGAGCAGGAACAGGGCATGGCAGCACCCTGCCCAAGCTCTGTCCCCTGCCCCTGCCAGCTCCAATCACACAAAGCACTGCCCCTACTCACCCTCAAGGATCTCCTGCAGCCTGTCCTTGCTGCTGTCCTTCAGGTACTGCGTAGCCAGTCCTGTGCAGAGAGCTCGGTCAGACCTGCTGCTGCCCAGGACACTCCTGGTATCCTGGCCCCGGCTCTGCCAGTTTGGCTGCACCCCTTCCCTCCCCTCAGCAGGGTGACCCCAGGGAAGGACAGGACCCGAGGGGAGGTGACACTGAGCAAGGTGCCACCAAGCCCTGCTGCGAGAGCAGGAGTAGGAGGGGGAAGCACAGAGCCCCTGGCTGCACAGGCCCTGTACGGGGCAGCTGGGGCTCTGGCAGGCACAGGGCTGCTCCTCGCAGCCAGTGCAGCAGATGGGACTGGGGCCAGGCTGCCATAAGAGGGACTCCAGGGACTGTGGCTCACCGATGAACCTCACGGCTGCCGATCGCATGGTAACCTGAGTGTGCTGCAGATAAGGCATGCTGTGACGCACATACTCTTCAGCCCTGCTCCGGTCCTGCTCCAGCTGGAGAGAGCAAAAAGGCACAGGGATGACATAGACCCTCCCCAGTCACCCGGGACAGGCCCTCTTCCCAGCATCCCACACACCCCTCCTTGATCCTCAGGACATTTGCATCTCCCAGCCAGGAGCCCTGTGGGGCTGAGATCCAGAGACAGCTACATGCAAAGCGGGGTCTGGAGGTCCTGAGAGCCCTCTGTGCCACTGCAAGGGCCCAGATTGTTCTCCTGCAACATCCTGAGGGTAGGGAGGGGAGAGAGGCCTGGACCAGAACCCTTGGGAGCTCTGCCTGAGAGCAGGGAAGGAGGATGCAGCACCAGGCTACAGGCTCTGGGCTGGAGCAGGGAACGTGAGGCACCACTGCACAGGGGGCACACTATGTACAGCCTGGGACTTCTCCTCACCAAGCACTCCGCAGTTCTCCAGATCTCGTGTGCCTGCACATTGTGACTGAGCCGTTTCAACTTGAGCACCTTTGCAGCTACACAGAAGGCTTCGTGAGAGGCCTGCGGATGAGGACAACAATTGGGGAGATTGTGGACAGGGCTTGGGGACCAAAGCCCTGGCCCCTGCAGGGGTCACCTTTAAAGCCTCGGGGGACCCTGGTATTCATGGGCTGCTGCTGAACCCTGATGGACCACATAGGGCAGGCCAGCTTCTTCTGCCCTCCCTGATGCCCAGGCCACCCCTGCGGGCTCAGCACACCCTTCTGCACACCACTGCTCAGGTCTGGAATCTCTACCTTGGCCACACTCTCAGTCTCATCACTCATGTGCAACATGAGCGGGACCAGGCTCTCCCGCGCAATCTTCTGCATCTGCCGCTGGTGCTTCCTATCTGCCATCTGTAGTATTTCTTTGAAGAGGCAGATGGAGAGCTCTTGCACCTGGCTGGACACCTGGTAAGGAGGAGGACAGGAGGACTTCAGCAGCAGCAGCTCCCTGAGCAAGGGCATCAGCGTGGCTGAGGGGAGGGGGTTCAGGTCTCCCAGAGCCATCAGCAAGTCAGGGAGAAGCTGGGCTGGGCTGCAGAGCCCAGAAGGCATCCCCATGAGAGCACAGGGGCATGAGGAGGGGCACAGTGCTATGCAAGTGCCGACACCAGGCTCTACTGACGGACACTTGTCCTTGCAAAGGGCCCATCAGTGAGGATCAGGCTTCCATAGCAGCCTTACATCATCAAACAGTTGTAGGAGCTTCTCGGCCAGCTGCAGAGTAGTGGAGCTGTCCTCCTTCTTCAAATGACCCATCACATTTCTGAAAACAAGCAGCATCTTCCTTCTGTTCTTACTGTCGGCTCTCTGCAGCCTGTGTATCAAGTCTGGCAGCAGGACCAGTATTTTCCTTGCCTGTACGAAGCACAGAATTCCTTTTATGTGAAGTGGTGAAAGACCACCCAGGCCAAAATGCTCTGGCCATTAAGCACCAGCCTCCTGCCTGGCTGCCTGACGGTGGCCCAGGAATCCCTGCAGCAGCCTCCTGGCAGGCTGTGCCCATGGTGCACTGAGTGGATCGGGGCCTGTGAGGGGACGTCGAGGGCATTTGGAGCCGTCACCCCAGCTCGTGACTCCCAGCCCTGGTCAAGCCACCGCGTTACCCACTGCCCAGCCCCAGGAGGCCAACACGGCTTCCCTTGGCTATGCCCTGCTCACCGTGTCAGGTGACTGTGACAACGTGATGAGGCCTGTGACCGTCAGTGAGAACAGCGCCTCATTTTGAGACAAGGAGAACCTCCCCGTATTGTACATCCCAGCAAACTCTTCTGGTGTCACATCGCTGGAGGCCAGCAGCTGAAACAAAGACGGCAGTGAGAGACCAGCTGAGGCTGCAGGGCTCCCCGCACTGTGCAGCTCCTGGGTCCCACTGGCAGCTCAGGGCAAGGGCACCGGGGACAGAGAGCCCGTGCTGCGGGACACCCACCGCACACCACACGCTTCCCTGTGCTGGCTCTGCCTGTGCAAGCAGAGCACTGCCTGGGCAGACAGGGACTTTGTGCACCTGCACTCACGCAGCGTGGCGTGGCGTGGCCCTGTGTGGCTGGCACAGGGGAACCTGGTGCTGTGCTGGCCCTAATGGGCTGTGTCCCAGAAGAGGTGACTGTTTGGGGGCAGATGGCAGGGAAGAGGGCTGTGCCTGTGTTTCTGGAGAGGCAGGCACAGCCCTGAGTATGAGCAAGGACTGGTCTGGTTACTCACAGACAAGGGATAGATGCAGAACTTCACTCTGCAGAATCTGGATGTCGAACGTGATCGCAGGTGCTGGAGGTTGCTGCTCAGCTCCCTCAAGACCTTCGGCAAGATGACAGGATGGGACAGCAGCTGTCTCCACATGGCCCGAGCAACTCTGCAGCCACAGAGCACTCTGTCAGCAGGGCTGCCTTGGCCACCGCACGGTGCCCGGGCCAGTCTTGCAGCAGCCAGGCTGTCCTGCAGCCCTGGCCCTTCCCGACCCCTCACTGGGAGTGCCCAGGTCCTAGACGGGGCAGGCAGGAAGGGGATGAAACTGTTCCCTGTGGGACAGGGAGGAACCTCGTGGCAGGCCTCTAGTCTGGCTTGGCCAGCTTTGGCTACTGCAGGGCTGGCTGACCCAGCAGGGCTAGAGAGAGTGATGGGGTACAGGGCTCAGCTCCTCAGGGGTGTCCTGCAGTTTTCTGTGGGCCTCAAGCTCCCTCTCCCCACATGGAACAAACCCACGAGGGCTGTGGGGGTCAGTACCTATCACATTCTGGAGAGACATCTACAAGGCTCAGGATCATCTCCCTGGGGTTCTGCTCTGCCATGCTCAGAAACAGCAAGTTCAGGCTGTGTCGGGCTGGTGCTGTGCTGATGTCCAGCAGGTTCTTATGGATGCAGCGCGTGAGGATCGGCACCTGGAGGGCACATGGGTGAGGGTGGAGCTGCCACCAGACTGCAGGCATTTCCTCAGCTGCTGCTGAAACAGCTGCCCTCCCCATCCTACTCTACTGGCATGAAATGGCTTCAAGGTGCCTGAGGCACCTGGGTGAGGGAAGGTGGGATGTAGGGAGGAACAGTGCCTGGAAGGGCTGGAGGACAGGGCAGCCACAGGCTGCTTACCTCTGTCAGCCAGGAGGCAGGTTCTGTCATGGCCACGTTCACGACGCTGATCAGCTCCTCCTTGTCACATACACACGAGTCTCTCATGGCCTCTATGGCCTTGAGGACAATGACTGCCTTTTCAGCAGGGTGGAGGTATTCCCCAAATGCCTGCAGGAGGGAGGAAGGCAGGGAAGACGTGTTAACACTGAGTGCCTGATAGCGTTGCTCAGCTGGGCAGTGACAGCAGCTCTGGTGAGAGTACCCACAGAAAGCTGGCAGCAGGGGCTGCAGTTGCTGTAAGGAAGAGAAGAGAGGGCCCTAGAGTGAGAGAGGAGGGACCCTGGAGTGCAGCCCTCTGAAGTCTGCTCCAGAACAGCAGCAACCCTCTGACCAGAGACAGTGAGATCATTCCAAGCCTGCTGGTTCTGGATCCCTTTGTTTGTACCAGTCTCTTTCCGATGCCCCAGACAAGAGGCCCAGCAGGTGAGAGCTCATTACCTTTGCCATGCTCCTCGTGCTGCACAGAGAAAGACAGGAGGGTTTCCCTGCTTCCCTTTTCCCTCCACCCTGGGGATGCTCTGGGTCATCCTCTGGTGACGTCATGCCTGAACAGGAGGAATCACGGAAGAGTCATTAGGACACAGCATTGATTACCATCAGTGACAGCTTTGGCTATGGGGCCCATGGAACTGCTGGGTTCTGAGAGGCCCTGAGAAGAGTGGGAAGGAGAGCAGCAAAGAGCACTGCTGGACTTGCGGTGAGCGCTCTGCTTCTGCAGCAAAACGATAGCTGGGATGCTGTGGGAAGCAGCTGTGAAGGGCAAAGGAGGTGAGAGAAGAGGGCAGGCTGTCCTGGACAGCCTCAAGAAAGTACAAAGCCTCTCTTACATTTTTGCTGCTGGATGAACCTGGAGAGGTGATGAAGAGCAACCAAAGCCTCCTGCTGGATCTCCCAGATCCTGCTAGTCCAGCAAACAATGAGACATCCCAGCAGCTGTCCCAGGAAGCGGTCATCGGTACTGGCATGGTGGGAAGAGCTGTCGCCATGTCCACGCAAGCTCCAGACCTGGGCAAGGGAGGCAGGACAGGCAGAAGGGCTGAGGGACAGCAGCTCAACAAAAGCTCTGAACCTGAGACTCTGCCCCAGGGAAGGATCCTGGAGGCTCAGAGCTGTGCAGGGCCCTCCCAAAGCAGCGAGCTGGGCAGCAGGGCAGGGAGAGCTGCCAGGCCTGGCCTCCCACCATGCTCCTTGGGCAGTGCTGTCCTGCACAGGACTGGGAGCCAAGATGGCTCCTGGCAGAAAGGGCACTGCGACGGAGGGAAAACCATGGGAAAAAGAGAAGCCAAGACCCTTGCCCAGGGCAGAGCCATGCTGAATGCCTCAGGCATCTCCAGCTGCAGGCTGCTGCCCACAGTGGGCAGGGAATGGGAGACAGCCTGGCTGGAGGGTGCCTGCCTCCTTACCTGCACTGAGGAAGAGCTGGCCATCAAATCGGCCAGCTTTGCGATCCTTGCCACGGCCCGTTCACACACAGCTGCGTGCTCGATGTCAGTGAAGGGCAGCAGCATCTGGAAGGAGAGAAAGTGCTGCTGTGCCCTGGGAGCTGGTGCCTGTGCCAGCCAGGGGACACGAGGCTCCTGGAAGAGCACGGTGGGCCATGTCTGGGTCCCCTGAGAGAGCTGAGCACCCTCCCTGCAGTGTGCTGTGTGCATGGAGCTGCGACGACACCGTGTGCTCCAGAGCAGACACTCCCATCCCTCCAGGGAGAGGAACAGCCCCTGCCAACCCTGCTCTCTGCCAGTGCCGCACCTGCAAGATTCTCCGCAGATCCCTGGAGCCCGGGGAGCTGAGCACGAAGCTCTCCAGCAGGACGTCCATGGCATCCAGGGTCTGCAAGGAGGATGAAGGTCACGTCAGTCTTTCTGCAGTCCTTCTCTCCCCGGGGAGGGATCTAACCCCCCCACGCCATGGGGAGGACACCCCTGCCACCTCTGGATGGCCAAGGGACACCTTGGAGCAGACAAGCTGCAGCGGGCAGAGGAGCCAGTCCAGAGGCTCTGGGCATGGCAAGGCCCACAAGGAGGAGATGAAGGGACAAGGGTGGGATAGTAAAGCCGAGACCCTATCGTGCCCTGGATCGCTGGTTGAGGTTCAGCACTTGCCAGCCAGGGAGCAGCTCTGAATGCTCCTGGCAGCCCAACAGCACTTACCTGAAAGTAGAGAAAGCTGTCTTCGCCCTTCCTAGAAGTGATGGGGGGAAGCAAGAAGACCTTCCTAAAACAGGATGTTAAAAGGCTTTTCTTCTTGCGCTTCAATAGCATCTGCACTTTGCTAGAAAGAGAGAGAGAGGGACCTGTCAGACATGGGTGCCAGGAGCGCTGCCTCCGTGCCTTGTGCAGCTGGACACAGACCTCTGGAGCAGAGGTCCCCAAGAGGGATGGAGCCCTGGTGTGCGGGGAGCCCTGCCAGGAGGAGCCTCCTCCCTCCTTGATGTGACCCAGGCCAAAGGACGGTCCTGGCAGGCAAAGCCTCCCGCCTCCTGCTTTTGGGAGCAGCCAAGACATGGTGGGGACCTGCAGGATCCCTCTGCTCTCCCCTGTGCCCCTCCGCAAGCCATGAGCACGGAAAAGACCATGGCCTCCGAGGGCACCACTGGACTCTGCCTGGATGGGAGATGCCCATGGCCAGGCCTAGGGCTATGGGCTGTGCAGAGGTGTCTGCCAAACCAGGAGCTGAGCACGCACCTCATCTGGGCGAGGGTCAGCATGGCTTGCTGCCGCACCACTGTGTGCACATGGTCCATGGGCTCCTCTTCCAGCAGCGCCTGCAGAACACAAGCAGGATGGGACCTGGCGGCCACCAGCACCCAGTGCCAACAGACCCAGCACCAGGCAGCATGGCTGGCAGGCACCCTCTGGCCCCAAGCCCAGCACTGGCCCCCAGCGTGGCCCTGCTGCCAGGGCTGCTCAGCGGCACCCGCAGGCAGCTCAGTGTCTGCCTGCGCACGCTGGTCCCTGCCCTCCCCCTGCACGGGCCCTGTGCGTTCTCAACAGTGTGCCAGCGCCTGGCAACTTGCCCCCTTCCCCAGGCCTGCCGTGTGTCCCCTCACCTTGATGTTCTCTGCCACCTGATGTTGCTCACAGAACTCCTTTAGTTCCTCTAGGAAGCCCTGGTCCCTGGCAGCTGTGCAGAGGCTGGAGACGGCCTGCAGGAATTGCACCTTCTGAGCCTCCTCCTGGGCAGCCGGGGGACAGAGACACAAACAGGCAGCGTGAGAAGGGGGGCACGTGGCCAGCGGGACTGGAGCACTGGGGCTGCAGTGCTGTGCAGGAGACCTGGGGAGCAGCTCTGCCCAGCCAGCAGCCCCCAGCAGCCTGGCAGCAGAGCCAGTGGGCCCATCAGGAGACACGGGCACTGCTACCCTGGAAACGGCTGAGGTTACCTTCACTGAGCTCTGCAGGAAGGTCTGGATAAACTGCATGTGTGCAGTGCGTTCCTCCTCCATCCTTGGCGGACAAAAGGATAGGGGTGAGGAACGAGTAAGGTTGCCAGAAATGTCTCAGCACTGCGGGGCTGCTGGGGCAGTGGGGAACAACGTGGGCTGCCTCAGGGGTCTGCGCCAGCCTCTCGCTCCCGCTCTGTCCCGTCGCCGTCCTGCCACACACTGGCATGAGGGGTGTGGCCTGCTGACTTTTAGACTGTGGCCATGGGCATGTCACAAAGGGCACCATGGCGGGTCATGGAAGGGATGTCACAAAGGGCACCATGGCGGGTCATGGAAGGGATGTCACAAAGGGCACCATGGCGGGTCATGGAAGGGATGTCACAAAGGGCACCATGTCTGGCTAACCATCAGCCCCACAAATCTAATCCGTGTTCATGCACAGCAGTAGATTAAACAATGATTTTTTTTTATTCAGACCTTCAGTAGGCAAAACATTTCCCATCTGCTTTGGCTTAACCAGTGTTGCCTGATGGAAAACCAAAGTTGCACGTACCAGGGACTGAGAAGATGAGACTTCCTAGGTGAGAGCTCAGAAAGGGAATCGCCTGAAACAGGGAAGTACCCGTGTCAGGTATTTTGTCTTAACAGCTGGGTACTATTTGGACAGAAATGCTTGTTCCCTGGTCTGGATGGCTTTGCTGTCTCCCCCCTTTGTGTAAATCCTCTTTTTTGCACTGTATTTAACTGCATCTTGTTTGAAAATAAATCTTTGCACTGGAAGCCTGACTGAGTGTAGCACCTGCTCGCTGGAGGTGGTTTGGGGATTTTGCTGTACACTTTCCCAGGCAGCACGGCAACTCTGTGGCGCTGCTCTCCATCACTCAGTCCAGACTTTGGCAGAGCTCTTACAAAGCCATTCTTCTTTGTATGTCCCTCCGTGGAAGGAATTATGTACACAGAAAGCAGAATGGGAGAATCCCTTTGAAGGGAAAGGTGGTGTTGCTTTTTCACTGCTCTTGACACTGAGTGACACTGTGCCACTGCCAGGGCCCAAAGGGATCCTCTTCAACATCTTGAGGTCGCGGAGGCGAGAGGGGCACCCGTGTCCAGCCTGAGACTTGTCCTCATCAAGCACTCCCAGGGCTCAGGACGCCCTGTGGTGTGCACAACACAACCGGATTGGGACCTGGTGACCACCAGCTCCCAGTGCCAGCACACCCAGCACCAGGCGGCTGGGCTCTGCAGAGCTCTTGAAACCATTTCCTCTGGGCGCCAAGCGTGAGGAGCATCTACGGGAGCCGCACGGCACCCGCCTGCCGCCACGAGCGGCTCCAAGCCCATGACCACACAAGCGAACCAGCAGCACGGACATTCCACTTCACGCGTGCGCAGTGCGGGGCGATGTTGGGTCCCGCCCGTGCAGCGGCTGTTGGGGTGGGAGGAGCAGCTGAGCTCCTCGCGACTGTGGAGGGCCGGTACGGGGTCCCGAGCGCAGTCGTTGCCCGGCGGCTCTTAACCGCCCTTTGCTGTTCAGGTCCAGGCAGTGTGGTGAGGACCGTGGTCAGGGAGGATCTTCTTCCCCGGCGGGGCCGCGGCCATGGACGAGCAGAGCGTAGAGGTGAGCGGTCTGGCGGCTGTTGCGCTCGCGCCGCCTCAGGGAGGCGGGAAGGGCTGCTTGGGGGTAGCGTGGTGTCCTCGGGTGCGCATCCCCGGCCCCATGGGGACGGGCCGCTGCGGCGGCGGCACCTTCCCTTCCGTGGGGGCCGGCGAGTGGCGGGGACGGGCCTACTCGGTGTGGTCCGTGCCGTGCGGCCTGAGCTGTTTACGGGCCGGGGAAGGGCTGGCGGATGGTGCCGCGGAGCCCTTGGCTGGACCCTCGCCCTTGTGTGAGGGGAGAGAGGCCGAGCGGTAGGGAGCTGTGGGCGGTCCCGGAGGTGGAACACAGATGGCAGCTCTGCCGCGGGCGGGGATGCGCATCGGGCCGAGTCTTGCTGCTGTGTGCCCGGTGGGCCGGTAGGAAGGAAGCGGGGTGTAATGAGGTGATATTTCTGAGTGACCCGCGGTTGTTTTACATAGGCCAGGTTAGAAAATAAAGGGGTCGGGTGGACACCTGGTGCTGATAGAAGCCGCTCTGGCATGCGTGACAGCACAGCACGCAGTGGTGCTTGTCTGTGACGTGGGCGATTCGTACACGTTGCTGTTGTCCGTATTAATAAGAGCCAAACCGGGGCAGGATTTAACAAGACCTTTGTTGATAATTTTCTGTAAATGCATGTGCTGTTTTTTAATGGTTTGCAGCCGTTAAAGAAGATGCTAATGTGTGGGAGATGATACTGTGGTGTCTGTAAATTGAGGAAATGCTTCTGTGCTCGTTTATAGTTTTGACTCCGGGGAAAAAAAATAGCCCATCAGAAGACTCTCAGAGTTCTGTAGTTGAAGCCGGAAGGGGTCTTACTCCTGTCCAATACAGAACATGAAACTTCTTATCAGTGCAAAATCTCATCAGTATGGAAAGCAAGCACAGCTTGGTATTTCCAAGCACCTTTCTCATTTTGGGGATGGGAAGAGCTGAGGTGGTGTATGCTAGAACAAAATGCTTCGCTCTTCAAATGGGGATAGTAAAAGATAATTTGTCAAGCTACACTTTATCGCTGGAGAATTATTAAATGGGGTGTGAGAGAGCGTAGACATTGTGGAGCTAGTGCTAATGGTAGACCTTAAAAAATGTAAGCCTCATAAAAGTAAAACCAAAAGGCCCATACAGTTCAGCCCATCCCATTAGCGTTCTGTATAACAGCTACATGCACTTACCACGCTTCTGAATTAGTTTAGTGCCAGTACATTGAAACTCCTGTGCTTAGAATCTGCAGGTGCAGCAGTTTATTCTGGTGTCTGTTCAGACCCATGTGAACACAAACACGAATGACATCTTGGCTCTAGAAAGGCCCACGTTAAAAAAGATGAGCCCAAGAAACTGTGCGTTGAAGAACAGTGTTGCAAAACGTGTGCTAAGAGCTGGTGTAGTGTAGGAGGAGGGAGGGGGGGGGGGCGAGAGCCACTGTGTTTGACATGGTGTTTTGACTCTAAGATGAGCTGTTGGTAGCTGTTTGGAGTGGGACTGCGTGTATGAAACCTGGCACTCTGCCTGGGAAATAAATGCAACTCTGATATGCTTGAAGTATATGGCCTAACAGTAGCGATAATCTTACCCTCTGCAGAGCATTGCTGAAGTATTCCGATGTTTATTTGTATGGAGAAATTGCGTGATGCACGCCTCTGTCCTCATTGCTCCAAGTTGTGCTGTTTCAGTTGTATTCGGGTGAGTTTCCTCATTATAGTTTATTCTTGCAAACATATGAACTTAAAACTTAGTGATCTTATGAAGACGTTCTTGATTCTTTCTTGTCCGTTTCCCTGGTGCTCCAAGGATTCCTTTTTCCTGCCCTGTGCTCTTCAGTTTCCCTTTCAGGATCCTTTACAACTCCCCAAGTTAAAAAGAGGCAGGCTGTGCATTGCATTCAGCAGTGCTAATTATAGGGACTATCTGGATAATTGCTTTAAAGAAGCAGACGTATAATGATCCCATCTGTGGCATCTCTTGGGAGTCAGTGGTGCCTGTTTGGAAGACACAAAATCGGGATAGGAATGAAATGCTGACTTGGCATATCAGTATGGAGCACTGGAAGGTCATAACACCACCTCTGGTCACCTTGGAGATGTTGTAGAATACTTACCAAACTAGTATAGTGTCAGCAGATACAGGCTCAATCTTTCTCAGGAGAGCCTGATACAGCAGGTTGAAGCAACATCTGAATCCCAATTCTTTGATGAAATCCTGGTTTCCAGTGTATAACACTTCAGTTCCAAGTCTGGAAGCTGTAGGTGCAGTGGGAGAGGGTTCAGCTGAGGTTTTCAGTCCTCTGGTAATATTTCCAGAAACTGGAACAGGCAATCATTTGCTTTGAAAGCTCTGAGAAGAGCTATAGGTGAAGGCTTCATGTTACACAGTAAGAATGTTAGCACATTGTTGCTGGGTGGTGAGAGATTATTCATGAGAATCTTTAAATGTAGTAGTGAGCTGACAGATACAGGCCCATTAACTGCTGTGCTTTTACACTTGTAAGTTGCAGTGGGCAGGTGAAGTTCCTTCCTCAGCTACTTGTCTTTGGAGCTTTCTGGAAGAGAAGGATTTGAAAGGTCCTTGTGGATTTGATCCTTGATCCACAGGTATCTGTGTATAGGTAGCCCAAAAGGAAGAAATAAGTTACCTTGAAGAGTATAATCTAGACTGAAATTTAGGCTTGTGTCTTTTGCTTTCTTTTGTTGAAACACGCTCTTCAGTCTGTGACTGTGGGAGTCTGCCCCACATGTGTGGTTTCTAATGGAATATTTGGTACCTCAGAATCCTCTACGTTTTTTTTTATACTGGGGTGCCTTTGACATCTAAAGAAAAGTGGTTGCTTTGTGACCAAGTGGTGGAACAGCTAAATTATAAATCTTAAAATCCGCCCAATTAATGATAGAATGTGTTTTCTTGCAGTTCTTTTTTTATACTCTCTTAAAAAATGTTTTTCCTTTTTTCTTCATAGCATTGGCTGACGGAACAAAGAGCTCAGTGCCCTCATTGTAGGTAAGGTATTTTTAGTATCAGAAAGAAATTACCAGGAATTGGGTGTACTGTCCTGTTACGATCAATCTCTTCTTTTTTTTTCAGTGCAGGTTGCACTGATTTGTAAGTTTGATTTGTTTTTATTTTTATCTTTTTTAAGGGACTCTGCTGTTACTATAGAAATTTACTCTGGTATAATGCTTACTGTAAAATATGTCCGAGTTTTGTGACCAGCTAAGCAAGATCTTTATTCTTCTGCTGTCGCACTGCTGTTTTCAGTGCGTGCAGTTGGTGTAATAAGAGTAACTAGATGGTGTTCCCCTCAGAACTCCTTATACTTTCGCAGGAGTCAGAGACCAGAATCTTCAGTTTTCAGACTGAAATGTCTGCTTTTTTTTTTGCCCTTTTTTTTTTTTTTTTAAGCCGCAGTGTTGTGTTTGTTTGGTGTGGGTTTTTTTAATGCAAGCCCTGGCCTCCGTTAGCACTTCTGGGCACTTAGCGATACTAGCTCTTGATGGACCAAAAATTGGAAGGCAACATATTCTTTTCTCCTAAGGAAAGGGAGGTCCTTAAACGCAATTAATCAAGCATTTCTGCAGAACTTCTTAAATATTGAGCTTTTCAAGTATTTGGTCTATA